GTAACTACCACAATTCCCTTGTTCTCTTCACAGAAAAGGGGTTCATGGATAGGAAGATTTAATATTGTAAAAACATCAATGCAATTCTAAAGTGATCTACAAATACAAGGCAAAGCTGATCCAAACCGTAATGTCGTTCTTTAGAAAAATGGAAAACAAATGACCAGGTTCACATGGAGAGGGAAGAGACCTAAGTAAGCAAAGACCCACGTATAAATCAGATCTATCAAGATCATCAATGAGAAAATTGGGACAAACCCAATTTAAGATACATGTAGGTCTTCCACAAAGGAGACTGCACCCCAGCTGGGGTCAGTTTTTCAAGATGTGGAGACCTTATTCTGTTATTGTCATACAAAACTGGGCTAAGGTCACCCCAATCCAACAGACACACCAGCGTGATAAGGAAACCTTACTGGAAATTCAAGTCAAGAGGTATTGAGATGGAATTTTATATGTGAATTATATGCCAACAAATCTACTTTTTTTAAAAGATGGAAGGAATGCAGTCACGATACCAAAAAAAAAAAATGTTAGATATCCAACCATTTCAGGAGGTAGCATGTGATCAAGAATTAATTCCCAGTTGTGCTGAAGGCACTAGCAAAGAACACAGCTCCAGGATTTGCAGAATACCAATTAACATGTCTCAGCAAACAGATGCAGCACTTCAGGTGCTCATTTATTTATCCAAAAAAATTGTAAGGCAGCTACCTGAACAACTGGAAGAGCTCCACATTTGTACCCATTTCAAAGAAAAGTGATCCAATAGAATGCAGAAATTATCAAAAATATATGATAGTTAGGTTTATTATGCCAACTAGCCCTCCGTAGGAACGTGTAGGCTGAATTTAATGAGGCCTCTGCTTGATTAGAGGGCAACTGAGATAAATGCTTTCCAAGGATCTCCTCCCAACTGTCTCCCTCTCTGGTGATCAGACCAGCAGGCTGCTGCTTGAGCTAGTCATTTGCCTCAACCATGTTCTGTGCTACCTGTGGTCCAAGCCAACCCATGGATTGTGTCACTGTGTAGGCTTGACTAGAGCTTGAAGAGTCATCAGGATCTGCTTGGACACATTGCTAGTGGATTGTGTCAGCAAGCATGTGTCGAAGGAACTTGAGACTCAATTGGGACCTGCTTCACTAAGCTCCCAAGTACTGACTGCTGCTGCCCTAACCTGCCATCTCCTGCCTGCAGCTGAACCTGCTTGGCTTGCCTCAGGGATGAAAGTGAGTTTAACTGAGCCCTCTGTACTGCTGTGTGGACTAATCCGTTGTTATATTCCTTCTTGCTATATAAACCTATTCACATATACATGTGTCCTGTTTTTGTTTCTCTAGAGAACCCTGCCTAACACATATGATTAGTATCACATGCAAGTAATTTTTTGCTGAGGGTAATTAAAAAATTGTTGCAGCATTATATCAACAAAAATTTGTCTGAAATTCAAGCCAGATTCAGGAGAGGACATGAATGAAGGACACAATTGTTGAAATCAATGGATCTTGGCTGAAAGCTGAGAACACCAGAAAGATGTTTATCTGTGTTTTATTAACTGTGCAAAGTGATTTGATGCTGTAGGTCATAACAAATTACAGATAACATTGAGAAGAATGTGAATTCCAGAAGACTTCATTGCGCTTATATGAAATTGACCAAGAGGCGGTTATTCAAATAGACAACTGTGCCAATAAGCAATCTCACAATAAATGCAGAAAAGATTGAAGTCCACAAGTATTTTGTCTGACATGGATTAACAATCAATGCCTATGTAAACCACAAAACAAAACAAAACTTATCACCAGAGGACAGGGTAGAACTGCCTCTGTGAGTTTCTGAGACTAACTCTTTATGGGAGTAGAAAGCCTCATCTTTCTCTGACAGAACTGCTGGTGGTTTCAAACTATTGACCTTGAAGTTAGCAGCTCAACCACGTAATCATTATGCCACCAAGCCTATCCTTCACATGTAATCAGCTGCCAGGAAATCAAATGATGTCTTGGCAAATCTGCTTCAAAAGATATCTTTAGAGCAGAGGTATCACTATGAGGACTTAGGAGCACCTGACCCAAGTCACAGTGTTTTTGACTGCCTCATATGCAAATGAAAACTAGACAACGACTAAAGAAAGATGAAGAAAAATGATGCCTTTGAATGACCTGACCTAACACAATGAAATCAGCTTCATAATGGGATCTGCTATGAGCAGCCAATCAGTTGTAAGATTAAGGTGGTATGTAACATCCTTATGCAGGTCACAACCTTGATGCCATTGAGAGGAAGTTTCCTCAGGGATGTGTCCTTCTCCCAGTATAAGTGGATGCTGTGGGAAAGCTTGCTTGCTTTGTATTGGTTCTGGATCCTCTAGCTGGGTTCATTGACCTCCTGTTCTTTGGACTCCAGCCATATTGCCTGCCATTCCTGGGTGTCATCATCACCCTCTCCCTGACCTGCCATTGAAGGTTCATTCTCCAATGAAGCTACTAGCCCGTGGTTTTCCTCTCAATCATCAGTCTCCACAGCTACATGAATCAGAAGCTTCCACACTAACATCTGACCCATGGACTTCTTGGACTTGGCTGCTTCCACATCCATGTAAGCCGTTTTCTTGGTGCAAATCTCTTTCCCTCTTTTTTCTAATCTCTCTCTCTCTCTCTCTCTCTCTCTCTCTCTCTCTCTCATATCTAGAGAACCCAGCATAAGACACTGATAAACTAGAGGGTCCCCCCTAAAAAAGAGAAATATTCTCAGTGAAATGGATTGACCAAGTGACTGCAGCAATGACGTCAAACATAGCCATAATTGTGGGGTCACGAAGGACTAGACAGTGTTTCTCTCACTATGACTCAGAACCAACTCAAAAGCACCTGACAGCAACAACAATAAACAGCCAAAAAGGAAGTCAGGAATTGCGATGTCACAGACTCCCCCAGATACTCCCCTTAGAGGGATCAAACAGACCATCCCAGTATGACTCGCGATGGGGGAAGAACTGAGTTCTGTCAGCATAACAAAGTCAAAAATGATGCTGGCGTCTCCTGCGTGGAAGCACCAATTGGTCTCAGCCTCTTGTTTCTTGTCATTGTTGTGAGCTGCTATCAACTTGGAGGATACAAATTTCAGAGAGATATTGTGACCTGGGCAGAGCTTTCCCAGAAAACAGATCCTGAGCCAAGAATTCCAGTGAGAATGGTTTCTTTGAAAGATGATTCCAAAAAACAATCATAGGGGAGTGAGGAAGTGAGCTAAAGTTGGAGGGTGGGGACCTGCATTAATGAGCAGATTACTGCTGTGGGCAACTGAGGCTCAGTACCACTAGAGGATACTAGAAGACAGTATAGACTAGGTCTTAACTCTCCCCACCCCAAAGACCTGGAGCATAGTCACCCACTCCACTGTCTTGTTGGCTGAGGGCTGCTTCTGCAGGCACCATCTCCCCAGCACCTCCTTAGTACCCAGGACACCTTAGCCAAAGGGAACCATTGGCAGGGAGTTTGGGGTCTGGCAATCCAGCACCACTGATGCCTGGGGACAATAAGTGGTAGAGATGTAGGGGCAGGCCACCTGTTGTGTCTGCTCTGTAGGAGTTTCATCATCCTTTATTGCTTGGGGTTATTTTACTTGCCCTACACCCACCCACCTAATAAATCAGCTAGAGTATGGGCTGTGGCTACTCGTGGCCAAGCCTTTGTGCCTCCCCCACACAGAGGAGCTTGGCGAAGTTATTTCACTTCTCCGGGTCTGAGTCCACTCTTCCATGAAGCAGAGATAATAGCAACACCTATCTCTGGGCTCACCCCAGCTGATAAGTATAAGGAGCAGAAAACAGCCCGACCCAAGGGTTGTACTAGCGAAATTCCCAACAGTTTTGTAAAGCCCTGGAGTGCTCAGGCAAAGTCACCACCAGATGCCCCTTTGCTTCACCGGTGTCTGGCCTGGTGAGTGCCCAGATGAATGAATGGCAGGGCAAATGGATTGAGGTGCTGGGCTCAAGAGCTAGTGTGTTGGCTTCGACTGTAGACTCTCACATTGGCATCGCAGGCCCAGCTTCCTACAGTGGATACTGTTTCTCTGGGGAATCCCAGAGTCCTCCATGTGGGTACTGTTTTCCTGGGGCATCCTTGGGTAGTTTCAGCAGATCCCACAGGAAAGTTGGGAGTTGGAGTCCACCGAAAGGCATCTCAGAATAAAGGCCTATCAGTCTATTTGCAAAAGGTTAGCCATTGAAAACTTCAAGGTCTCAAGTACAAAGAAACTGTTTTTGACATGTCGATGCCAACCTATGGACCAGTGTGCTTTACACCATTGAATGATGGATTGATATAAGATTTTTAAGAGTGCCCCCCAAATAAAATTATTTTAAAAGAAAGAAGGAAAACTTTATGAAGCACTATTGTTCTTCTCTGACACACCAGGTCACCACAAATTGCAATAACTTGACAATCATTGGTGGTTGTTTTCCATGGAGTTCTTCCCTGGGAGGACAGAAGGTTAGTTGCCTGTTGTGAAACCTCTTAGGGTGGGTTCCCAGAGCAGATTAGCATGTTTGCATCCAACAGTTCTCACACATTGTTTCATCGGACTGACTGCAAAGCATCATTCAGCCCACTTCCTCCCGTGTCTCCTGTCTCCATTCTCCGTCTTTCCTAACCCTCTGATCCTTGTCCTTGGGGAAATGCCAGCCTGTGGATCTAGGATAGCCCATTATTCCAACCTGGGGATAAGTGCATTTACAGACCTGACACATGACTAAGGGCCGTAGTCTACCAGTCTCCATCCAACCAGTAAGCCTGGTCCCTTGCATGACTTTGAGTTCCGCTCCACGTTTTCCTCCCACTGTCTCCAGAACCTTCTAACGTGATTTTTTTCAGAGCTGTCAGTGCGAATAGCCTGGTACCATCTAGATCTTCTGGTTTTCAGGCTGTGGAAACTGATGTTCATGTGAAACAAGGACAGACATTTTAAAAGGTATGTTTATAAAAAATAAGCATGCCTGGGGGAAAATAAAAGTCATTCGTTTTACTGAAGTTCTAGGCCCTGCAGGGAGGCTGATGGCCCTGGGGCTGCTGAGAACAAGAGACCCTCATAAGATTGAGGGTCTCACACCTGACACTGAACTCCTTTGGCACAGGGCAAAACACAAACACAACTGCTCAGGATTCACGTACACGCACATGTTGCCCTCTGGTGGACGGAGTGGAAAGCAGCAGATCTGCTTCTTGCCAAAGTCTAGGCAGGGTCTCTCTCCCCTCTAGCTGCAGCCTCGCTGCACAGATGTGGAGCACATCAAGATTATGAGTGGCTTGATAGATAGGTTCTAAGGTGGGTATGTGATTTGAAATGAATGCATATATTCTCAATCTCTCTACCATGTTCCTCACATCAGTATCACATTAGAGCTTAGCTTTTTGAGGCTCAGTCCATTCACCAGAGCTGGTTTGTTCTCCAGTTTGGAACAGATGTCTACTTCTTCTATTAGGTGGGTAGCCAAGAGACGCTCACCCTTAGAGCTGCCATGTTGTAAGGAAGTCCAAGCAGCGCAGAGAGGCCACATAGAGGTGTTTCAGCTGAGAGCCAACAACCAGTCCCCCTGCCAATGAGTCTTCCAGGTGAGTCCCTAGATACCGTGGAGCAGAGATGGACCACAGTGCTGAGTCCTGACCAAACTCCTAATCCACAGAACAGGCATGCCCTAAATGCTATCACGTGTGCAGGCAGGGGCGGTGGCTTGACATGCGCCTCGAATGTTCAGCTTGGCCAGAGGGCCACTCTAGAAAAGGGCCCTCAGAGTGGAGCGTGGCCAAGAACAAAGCAAGGTCAAAGGAAGGTCGGAGGCAAAGTCCCCATGAGTTCCCTGACTTCTCTCCTTTGTCTTAAAGGATTACACATAGCTGAGCTTCTGTAGGTTGACTAGACGAAGGAGAGGGGCTCATCCATAAGACCAGAAGCAGACTTCTCCGGAAGGCTATCCTAGGGCTGAAAAAGAATTGCCCAGTGCAACCAAAGAGAAGTGACGGCATAGGCCTCCACTGGTCCCTCGACTGAATGGGAGGGGTGGGCTGAGGGGACATCTGCAGCCATGGTCAGATGAGGGCGCAGCCGCAGCAGTATCGCTCGGGGTAGTCCACCACGTGCACCTGGTGATCAGTTCCGTACAGGTAGTAGACACCAGTCTTTCCTTGGTACCAGTAATGAACTTCTGTCAGTGGGATCACCTCAATGGTCTGCCGCTGGGAAAATAAATGGCCAACTTCAGTGCTCTGTGCCAGCCACCCACCTGCTCAAGAACCTTCAATAGCTCCCTGCTGCCCATGGGTTCGTGCTTGGGAGCTGGCACTCAGGACCTGCCCAATTGGACTGTGACTTGTCTTCCTAGATGCATCTTCCAGTAGTATACTGTCCACACCCCCTAGGCTCCGGCCAGAAATGACTCCTGTTTAGCCACCAGTGAGGCTCGGCATCACCGAGAAGGGCACGGGTGTGCCAGAGGTGTGCAGATGTACGGAGAGCTGCCCGCAAGTGGGCATCTTCCAGAAGCATCCAGGTTTAAGTTGGGGGAGGGAGAAAGTCACTTAAAATATGTTCATGTTTTAGCACGCATAAGGACATGAGAGGGGTGAATTGTCATGCTCTCAATACATTGTAAGGTCATTTCACATGCTGATGGGTTGCTTCAGGCTGTTGTCCCTACCAACATAGCAAGGCCTTGCATCAACCCTTCTGCAAGGAAAGGCTCTGTCCAACACCTCCTTTCTTTTATCAGGGGGACACCTAGCGCCCCGTTCTTCTCAGGCTACCCATGGATTGTAGGATGTAAGCCTTCAGACATCTCAGACACGCAGCCAACCCACGGATCTTGGAGCTGTGAGTAGCCTTACCATTAACTGAGCTAATCCATTAAAGTAAATCTGTCTGACTGTCTAGCTATCTGTCCCCACACAAATTTTATAGTAGACATTGCTATGAACCAGCTGCTACTCAGACCCACCCCGCATGAGGGAGACCAGCGCCATAGAGTTTTCTCTGTGTTCCATCATCTTCACAGGAGCAGATCAACCTGGAAGCGACTAGGTGGTTTCAAACTGGCAACCTCTCATTTAGCAGCCAAGCACTTAACGACCCAGACTAAGACATTTCAACAGTTCAGGTTTGGAAGATCATCTAATCCAAGCTCCACCTCCTCTTCCTAAATGCCCCCCCTTAATGAGGCAGGGGACTCCCTCCCTACCTCCCTTCTGGCAGTCATCCTAAAGCCTTCCAGGGCTCTGGGCTCCCCTCTGAGCAGCTAGTCTACAACGCCCCTGCCCCTGGAATGGGTGGGGGGTGACAGAGGGGATATCACAGCACCACTACTAACCTCCAGGGTGGCTATTGGCACCCACGCAGCAGGGAATGAAAGAGTCAAAGCAAATCTTACAGCCAAGGCAACTCTGGGAAGCAGTTTGCTCCTTAGCACACGGGCACCCAGGACCCCGCAGCAGTAGGTTGGGTTGGGTTTACTGTGGGCGGGGCCAAAGCCCTACATCCTTCTGGGGATCCCAAGCAGAGGGAGAGGGGTCTGCTGGTCATGCCAGACCCTCTGCACATGCAGACATCGCTCTACCAGGAGAGGAGCCTGTCCTCTTGACACAAGGCCTCACTCATCCCAGAGGAAAGGGTGCAGCAGGGGGGGACGGGACCAGAACTGGGCCATCCCCATTGCTTTCATTCTTGCTCAGAATCAGGCCTCCATTCTACTGACTGGGAAGCTGAGAGATGCCTCTGGGTAAGTTCGGATCTCCAACCTTTCCATTAGTATCTGAGCACCTTAACCATTTGCACCACCAAGGACTCCTGCAGCCATGGTAACCAACCCGCGGCATTGAGGAGACCCTGGTAGGTGAGGGTAGATCTGTGCCCCAGGGGGTCTCCGTGGCATTTTTTTCTAAGATGGATTGCAAGGCCCGTCCAAGGCGCCTGAGGATGAGGTCCACCTTCTGGTAAGTTGCCACATGCTGAACTGTTTGCACCACCCAAGCACGCCTGGCCTGGAATGCTCCTGCAAGCTTTACTGGCCATCATTGAGTCAGGAAGCGTGGATTCTATTTCTGGTTTCCTCCACTGAGACGCTTTGTAACCTTGGGAAATTTAATCTCTCTCTCTGAGCCGCCAAACTCTACCAGAGCTACAAGATCGGTGTTTCTCAGTGGGACCCCCACTAGAATGTGTGCTGATGTTGCTGCCCCTGTTGAAACATTGGGCGTCTTCATGTGAACACTTGGCTTCAAAGGACCTGGGGTCTCTGGCAGGTGCCTTTGGGAGGCTGCAAAGACGACTGCCTCTGTGGAGGAGGAGCTGTCCCACCACCGCACACCAGGCATTTGAATTTGCAATGCCAGCATGCCATGATTTGTAAGGCTCCGAGGTAGCCATGATTCATCTAAATGAAACCTAAATTAAACGCAGTTCTCCAGACCCTAAACCAAATGCTCGTTAGCATAGGGGACCCAAAGAAATGAAAGACTGAGCACCAGACCCTGGAAGTAAATAACCCCTTCTTTACACAACCACCTGAGAGGATGGAACCCCAGGCCAAGCTGGGGTCTGAGCCCAGACTGCAGCACTCTGGGTCCCTTGACAGGCTGCTCACTGAGCTCTGAGAAGGGGTTCCCGGCCAATCCCCACCTTCTGGAGCCCGCAATAGCAGCCTGGGGGGAGCGCAGAGGGCAGGCTGGAAGAGCGGTGGCGTGCCGGCGCCATCTAGTGACCGCGAGGACTCAGCGGCCTTTCCAAGCCCAGTTTTCCCAGGAGGTCAAGAGTTTGGGGACCCCAAACCCGAGCGCCAAGACCCCTGGCTCCAGCCCTGCCTGCAAGCCTGGGCTAGAGGAACCCTTTCTAAACCTCTTCCTGGGCCCAGGACCCCACCACCATCTTCTGCCTCCATTACTGGTCTTTCTCCAGAGCCTCCCGAGCCTTGGGTCACTCCCCGCGGCTCCCTGTGTTCCAACCTGAGCCTCTCTGCCTCGGTGCTTCTCTGGAGCCGTTCTAGAAAGCAGCATGCTTATCCTGCTTCCTCCTTTTTACGTTCCCATGGGCAGTGCCCTGGAGCCCTCAGCCTCCCATGGGCCCAGGCCCGATCCCAGAAGATGGATGACCCCAGCCCCCAGCCCCCAGCCACGGGGTGAAGTTAGACCCAGGGCGCCTTGCCAGCGCCCAGGCCTGCTCTCTTCTGCTCACCTGCTGCAGAACGCGGGCGTGGGAGGCCACTGTGGCGCTGTGCTCGGTGATGCCTCTCTGTGAGGCCGCAGAGATCTCCCGCAGGGGGAAATCCGTGATGGGGTACACCTGCGGAGAGAGAAGTACCCCCCGGAAGTACGCAGCGCACACGGCCCCAGGCTGTCTCATAACCCCCAGTGTCAGCCCGGAGCCCTGGGGGCGCCAGAGCTGACTTCCTTCCCCCCTGACCTCTGGCCTCACCCCAACGTTCCAGCCAGAACAGGGAGTTTGAGATAGAGATGAGAAGTACCCTCTTCACCTACAGCCCATTAGTTTGCCAAGAAAACCCTCTTGCACACCCACTGTGTGCCTGTGTCCACTGTGTGCCAGGCAGCCTGCCAAAGGAAAGGCCCAGCAGAGAACAAGCCAGGGCCCTGTCCACAGGGCTTGACCATCTGCGCATGGCCAGGGGAGACCTGCAGGGGTATTTCTCATCGGGGCAACTTGGTAAACTACTGCTTTAAAACAAATCCTCAATAAACCCAAAACCCAAAATCCAAACTCACTCTCATCCATTCGATTCCGACTTAGGGTGACCCTCTAGGACAGGGTAGAACTGCCCTTGTGGGTTTCTGAGGCTGTTTCTTTATGGAAGTGGAAAGCCTCCGCTTTCGAGTGGCTGGGAACTTTGAACTGCTGACCTTGTGGCTGGCAGCCCAATGTGTAACCACGATGCCACCAGGACTCCTGGTACAATAAACCTATAGGATGTCCAAATACAGGGACATCTAGCCAGTCCCGACACACCCCAACCCTGTCCCACCAAGCTTGAAAGCCTCCTATGTATTAGAATGATACTATGTATTAGAATGACGCTATGTATTAGAATGACGCTATGTATTAGAATGACGCTATGTACTAGAATGGCGCTATGTACTAGAATGGCGCTATGTACTAGAATGGCGCTATGTATTAGAATGGCGCTATGTATTAGAATGATGCTACGTATTAGAATGACGCTACGTATTAGAATGACACTATGTATTAGAATGACACTATGTATTAGAATGATACTATGTATTAGAATGAAGCACGGCCCTTGCCTGTGGCTCCACATCCTGTCCCTCCCTCCCTGTGAGGGGCACTGGAACCTTTCCTCTCTGCTCCTCCACTGCAATTGGTGAAGTGCCCAGTGCTGCTGTAGGCACCAAGGAGAGGGGGGCTGACCCCCTCACCATTCACCGTGCCTCCAGGGCTCAGCATCAGACCAGGGTCGGCTCTCCCAGGAGTCCCTGGGTAGTGAAAACACCCAATGTGAAGAGGGTCTAGCTCACTCAGAGGTGCCTCGTGAGAAAGGCCTGGCAGTCGACTCCCAAGAGATCAGCCATGGAAGTCCTGACATTCGCTGGGTTGCCACAAGCCAGGGTCCACTGCAAGTCAACTGAGTTGCCTACCAAGGGCCTGATCTGGCTGCGAACCTCCCGCATCTCAGCTCCCTGCTCTGCACTCCCCCTACTCAGGCTCAGCATCAGCTCCCACCTGTAGGCCCCGCAGGGCAGTGCCCTCTGCTGGGAAGTCCTCATTCCTGCATCCACAGGGCTCACTCCGCCCATGCAGACACACTGCCTTCCAGTGCTAGCACAATGCCATCTCACTTGACCGAGGATAGCAAAACCCCTCGCCCATCCCTCCCTGCCCCTTTCCTTGGCTTCCGGATTCTCAACCATCTTTCTCAGCACTTGACCTTGCGGTCAAAAATGTGCTCTCTTCTCCCCGGTCTAGAACAACGTTGCTGCCTTCACAGCGCTCACGGTCAGCGGGATCCCCTCGGCGTTGAGTAGGGCCTGGCAAATAGGAAGGCTTCCATATATGTGGAATGAAGGGGCAGAAGGAATGAAACGGGGAGGGAAGGGGGGAGGAAGACTAGGGTGCTGTGAGGACTAACTACTCCTGTGGGAAACTTCAGAGAGAACACTGGCCACTGGTGGTTCCCAGTAGCCTCCTCCTGGCCCCGGCCTGTGCCCCACAGAAAGTCGGGAGACAGGGCCACACAGGAGACACCAGAGGCCCCTGACCTCATCCAGGAAGCCACCTCACCACCACGTCTTCATCCTTGAAGAGTTTTTCTCCTTTGGCCTTAGAAAGCAGCTCCCCTGGGCAGCTCAGCTGGTGTCCAGACACAAACTCAAACAGCCGGTTCTTCCTGGAAGCAGAGGGGTGGGCTAACCATCCGGCAGACGTGCTCAGGGGGCATGAGTGGTCGTTGGTGCGACATAGAACAGTGCCAGCATCCTCGTCTGTAAGATGGGAAGCTAGTCAAGGGAATTACCTCCACTGTGCTCAAAGCATGCCGAGCAAAGTGCGGGCACCTGGGGGCTTCTACTGACCTGGGAATCTAGGCGAAAGCACGCCCCATACCCAGGTGGGGCTGCTCTCTTGCTGAACAGCTGCTGCACTGGAAAGAGAAGCTGTCCGGATTTAAAGTTCGCCCTGCCTGCTCTACAGGGCATCTGTATCACACCTCCCCAGCTGCCTATCCCCGTAGGCTTCTAACCCAGCCCAGGGCTCTGCCCCCTCTAGGCTGCTCTAAGTCCCTTCTCCCAGCGGGTCCTGCACTGCCCGGGCCCAGGAGAGCTTCTCTGGGGAGCCTGGGGCAGCCGCGCCCTGGGCCACGCACCACACGATGATCAGCTGGACAAAGTGCAGCAGCTTCTTCTCCCCCTTGCAGGTGGCGCAGGTCTTGTTCCCTCTGCCGGAGCACGTGCTGCACCTGGGAGCCACACACCGGTGGAGCCAGCTCAGACACAACCACAGGTCACGTGGCTTCCCTAGTGCCCACCCCTCCTTCCCCAGGCCGATGCACCTGCCAGTCTTCCTTCTTGGGGTAGTGCCCCAGTTTTCCTTTGGGGACCACCCTCCTGATTCCATACAGTTACCCCCACCCCTCCCACAGATGGTGTGGGGCTTTGGCCTGGGGAACCAGCTCATCCCATCTCCCTGCCCTCCATCACAGATGCAATGATGGGCACATGCCCCACGACCCAGCCCCAGCACTTGTCCGAACTATCAGCCCAGGCCATCTTTGTTGGCTGGGATTATTAAGCCTGGAGCTGCCGCTGGGACCCTCTGGTCCCCACAGGGACAGAGCCTGCCTGTGAATGAAGCCGACACAAAGGAAAGTGGAATGAAAGGACGTTACTTCCCATTGACATTGTTTAAGCACCTGGATCCCGCTGGACCTGAAGTCATCCCTGAAATAGTCCACTGGCTTTTGAGTTTCATAAATCTATAAATGTACCTTTTCTTTTCCTTTTTTTGTAGCATTCTGAATTAGCGTCTCTGGCTCGTGAATGAAAAAAAAAAAAAATCCCAGCTCTCTTTCCAAACCAAACACTCTCTTCCCCAACCATAGATGAAAGATTCAATCAGAGTTTTGCCACCTGGCTTGTTAAAAGGTTGGCACAGGCTTCCGTGAGCCAATAGGGACTGGCCTCTCCTGACAATGTCCAAAGTACATGAGACAGTCTC